GATGACTAATAAGTTTGAAAACTTCAGACTTAAAACATATCAAATGGAAATGACTTAAAGCCAGAGCATGGTAAACCTCACTAGACCTGTGGAAGAATTTCTTGATAGTAAATAATATGAACACTAACACTGATGAATGAGAAAAGCTAGGCAAACTTCTCTGGACAGGATTTATTTCACACGTATAGGATGACTGAGTATCTTCCTCAAGAGAGACAGGCAAAATAGTTTCATAAGGCATCTTTAACATAGTTTGCCCTTGCCTCAGTTTCTCTGATTGTAATATGAGTTCTAAAGTTACAAAAGGTAATACCACCGATCATTGGTCAAGGTGACCTTGACTAAATCAAGGGTCTTTTATACCACTGTCTGGGTTTAGAAAGAAGAATGTAATCGTCTGCAGAGAACTTCTTAAGAAAGAGTTTTTAACTTATTGATCTCACTAAATGACTTTGATTAACAGTCCCTTTATTATCTACTTCCTCATCTGTAAAATGAGGTATTGTGACTTAAATGTTTGTAAAGTGCTTTCTGCTCCCAGGAGTAAAATAATAATAATAATAATAATGCTCTCTAATAGATAGTGTAACTTTTTTCTGTACTAAGTATAGTGTTCCCCACTTCCCCTTTAACAAGTACAAAAGCGGGAAGTGTTTAGAGCTCTCTTATGATCTACAGAAAGAGTAGATTATGTTGACACATTCATGCTTGAATAAGACCTAACAAGAAAGTAGAGGCAGAAAATGCAGAAGTAACCTGTCTCACTACCATAGCTTTCTCTAGTGAAGGCATATCTATGTCTTACAGAACTAGAGAAAGATCCAGACATAACTTAAAGGGAAACTCCTCCAACATGCTCATTTGAGAGATGGGGAATAAGGACCAGGGTAGAAAAGACTCACCTGAGGTTCTCTAGTCAGTTAGTAATCAAGGTAGGACCTAAACCTGGGACTCTCAATTCTGAATTAATATTATTTCTTCTCTTTTTTTCCTCCTCCTCGCTCCCTCTCCACCCCGTGTGTCTCTCTCCCTCCCCTCCTCCTTCTCTCCCTCTCTATCATGACTCACCACAGCTGGCTCACCACAGCCTCAACTTCCTGGGCTCAGGTGATCTTCAGCCTCCCAAGAAGGGAAGACTACACCACCATGCCTGGCTGCCTGGCTAATTTTTGTTTTTATAGAGACAAGGTCTTGCTGTGTTGCCTGAGCTGCTCTTGAACTCCTGGGTTCAAGCAATCCTTTCGGATCATCCTCCCAAAGTTTTGGGATTACAGGCATGAGCCACTGCACCTGACCTTGGTATTATTTCTGATAAACAATTTGCTCCTCACAGCTTTTGGTCTAAAGGTAACAAAATCATGGGCTAAAATATTGTCTTCTGGCCCAGCTAGACACATATTTCTCCATCTCCCTTTGACACCTGTGGTTACAGGGTGGGACAAAGAGACAGTTCCCATTTAATTCCTTAACTTAACTTCAGCACCAAGAATAGTTGAGAAATGAGATTTACCAAGAAAGTAAATCATCAGCAAAAGCTTTTATTGGGTTGGCTGGATTGGGTAAATCCTCAAAGCAGGATCATAGCATGCTCCCTTCTAGAAAGACGAATAATTCCATTGCTATCTGAGTCTGTGTCTTGTAGAAAGAGGCCAAGGTGTTTGGGAGTTGGGAACAGATGATCCTTCAAAGACTAAAGGATTCCCACTGGGCCAGTACCTGGGAGTTTTGGGAAAATAAATTTTGCTTTTTAGAGATTCAGTCTGTTGATCTAAGAAACGGGAATAACAATAACAACCTTTGCCATCTTTGAAGATCAAATGGCATATGATTTGAATGTTCCTTGCCAACTAAAGGAGTAAATGCGCGTGAGCAATTATATTTAATTCTGACTTTAAGCAATATTTATTGAGCATCTACTAGTACCAGGCACTGTGCTGGGGGGAGGGGATATATTAGTCAGTCAAGAGATGAAACATCTTGCCTTTTATAAAATTTACATTCCCATAGGAGAGATAGACAATAAATGAAATATATAAGTACAATATATAATATGTCAGAGATAACTGTAATGGAGAAAAATAGAGCAAGGAAGCAGGAAAGGCAGTGCAAGGTTATAATTTCAAAAAGAATGCTCAGGGAAGTCTTGAGGAAAAGGCGATATTTGAATAAAGACTTGGAGGAGGTGAGGAAAGGAGTCATGTAGACATCTGGGAGGGGAGAGAGTGCTCTAGGCAGAGGGAAAAACCATTGCAAAGGCTCTGAGGGAGAAGCACAACAGGCATATTGAAGGAAGAGCAAGAGGCCAATGTGGCTACAGTAGTGAAAGCATGGAGGAAAGGAGCAGGAGATAAAGTCACAAAGGTAAGGAGGAAAAATAGTGAGCCACTGTAATTTATTTTTTTTTAGTTGGAATCTCACTCTGTCACCCAAGCTTGAGTGCAGTGGCATGATCATGGTTCACTGTAGTCAGGACCTCCTGGGCTCAGGCCATCCCTCTACCTCAGCCTCCCGAGTGCCACCATGCCTGGCCAATTTTTTTATTTTTTTATAGAGACAAGTTCTCACTATGTTGCCCAGGCTGGTCTTGAGCTCCTGGCCTCAGTGATCCTCCTACCTCAGCCTCTCAAAGTGCTGGGATTTTGTGCTGGGAGCCACCACACCTGGCCTATAGGAAGGTTTTGAGAAGAGGAGTGATATGGCCCAACTTAGGTCTTGACAGCATCCCAAAGCTACCAAGTGAAGAACAGGGTTTTATTAAAAACCCTATAGCATTGTAACATAGCTATCATTTTGGAGCAATGCTCCTCAAACTTTAATATGTGTTGTACATCAAATAGTAACCTTTTAAAATGCAGACTCTGATTCAATTGGTCTGGGGCGGAACCAATATTCTATATTTCTACCAAGTTCCCAGGTGATGCAGATGCTGCTGGTCTATACAGCACTTTGAGGCTAGGAGCTATGCCTAGGGCCTGGCATGGAACAGAGCTCCACTAAAAGTTTGCTGAATGAATGAAACGTCAGTGGTTTAATCTCCAATGCCATACAGTACATTTGAGGGAGGGAGATTAAAAAAATACCAGTCACTGATGTAAGGTGGAAGGAAGAGGAAAAAAAGAGATATGGATGGATGGATAAATAGATAAGAAAAGAGAGGGGAAGGAAAAGAAAACTATCTATTTCCAAATACAACATATATTATTACAATATTACATTTAATTTCCTCAACAACCTTAAGAGGTTGATATAATAAAGCCCATTGTCAGTAGTTAAATATTGTTCTTCAAGAATGAGTGCATTGTAAATTTCATGACAGCTTTCTCTTCATGTATTACTGTACCAAATACAGTACCTCTAGTACCCTATATGTGAGGAATATGCATTTTCCAGCAATGTAAATTGTAGTTGTAATCACTCCATGATATCATCTGAGTTAAGTGGCAAAATAAAAATGCATGTTGTAAAAGAAAAAAAAAACCCATTGGACAAATCAAAAAAGTTGAAGGTCAGAGGAGTTAAAAGAACTTCAAGGCCACAAAGTTGATTAATAACTAAATTAGAATGTGAACGCCAGTACTGTATACCCCCAGAGACCTTGTTCTTTCCACTCTATCTTACTGTCTCATGGTGAGGAGCTAATCTGTAATCTTCTTGGGTGGGGGAAGAGAAAGTGAGGTGAAGTAAAGAAAGTTATGGCACAGAGTCTTTGATGTTGGTCATTCCAGAGCTGCATTGTCCAATGTGAGTGTCATTAGACAAATGTGGTTAATTTAAATTAATTAAATTTAAATAAAATTTAAAATTCTATTTCTTAGTCATACCAGTCACATTTTAAGTATTCAGCAGGCACAAACTGCTGGCTTGTGGCTACTTGTATTGTAGAGTGCAGACATAGAACATTTTCATAATGGTATGAAATTCTATTTGATATGTTCTAGAGAAATAAGAACTTTGAAACATGTTAGAGCTGTGTACTACTGACCCCAGAGTTAGCCCTGCACTGGAGGACAGAAAATGGGACCTGACCCCTTCTCTGGAAGGAAGGAGAGAAGATTCAAAGCAGTTTTCTCTGGGTCAAGAAGGAAGCTATATCTCTCTGTGTGTGTGTGTGTGTGTGTGTGTGTGTGTGTGTGTGTTTAATCCCGAAAACATTGTTTTCTCCATTTCCCATTGGTTTTACCTTTCTGCTTAATAAAATGCCTATTGAAAATGTCAACTTGACACTACTAAGCACAAGAGAATGGGAGGAAAAGGCTCTCATCTTCACTTAGGACAGAAAGATAGAAAAAACGGGTTAGGGAATATAGAGACACAGTTCCTTGTGGGGCAGAGTGACATACTGAAGAAGCCAGGGTTTGTCCAGCCTTCATTTTCTCCCCAAGCTCTTTCCTGCTCAAAGCCACAACTAGTGTTCTACAAGTGAGGTAGTAAAACAAGCAGCATCAGCATCACCAGGGATGCTTGTTAAACTTAGAGATCCTTATGCCTTGTTCCAGATGGATTAATTCACAACTTGTTGGTGGGGGGGGGGGCAAGGATAAAGGGCCTGGGATCTGCATGCTTAACAGGCTTCCCCAGGGACTCTGGTGCATACTCAAGTCTGTGAATCACTGGTTTGGACAGATATGTGTTTTGCTTTAATAAGGTTAGTCCCTTACATGAAGTGGCTTCAATTAGACCAGAAACCAAGAGGATAAAAGTAGACATTCAGGGCGGGGATGGAGGCAGAAAGAGGAAGAGAGAAAGGGTAGAGAAAGAAAGAAAATGAATACAAATAAATGAATACAAAAATTAGATGGACAGAGGAAATGAGAAAAACAGAGACTGAGAAACTCTAAGAGAGCAGTTTCACCCCAATGAACAGAATCTGGGAGGCCACTACAGCTGCCCTTTCCAACATCTTGGAACTGTCACAGGCAAGGCCTACGAGGATCGTCAGTTCTTCATGGGAGTGTATTCCACCACACCCTTTGTTCCCCCACATGCACCACCATGGTTACCTCGCAAATGTCCTTGAGATGCTTGATGTAGTGACGCTCAGTGCTCATGATCTCATTGATGACATTGGCCCGCATCTGGTCCCGGTTCTGTAGTGGCCGGCCCAGACAGAGGCAGTCTGAGTTGGGGTCCAGGTGCCCATTCTGCACGTCACTGGGCCCCTCTTCCACCCCATCCTCCTGGTTCACCCAGAGCTGTGGAAGCAGGTAGAAGAAGAATCACTAATAGTCTTCACCTTCTTTGAGAAATTTCTGGCCAATTAAATTTTTTTGACATGCAAAGATCTCTACCTCCCCTAGGTTGTTTAGGGATGGAAGAATACTTGCCCACCACATAATAACAGCTATTGACTGGGCACCTGTTATACACCAACCACTGTGCTAAAAGCTTTCAATATACTCTATTCAGACCTGGTAGGTTGGTGCCATTATTATCACCATTTCACAGAAGAGGAGACTGAAGTTTGGAGAAGTTTGGAGAAGGAATTTGTCCCAAGTCGCACAGAAAGCAGAGGATCTGGGATAGGACCAGGCAGTCTGATTCTAGAGCCTATACTCTTAATCAGTGTGTTAGCTAGCACCTTTGCACCTCTGGCTGTAAGGAAGACAGGAAAACAAAAGAGCTTGGGCAAAGGTGGGCTGTGAATTATTCGAATAAACAGAAATGGACACAGTTGGTAAGGGTTGAGACTATCTATTCCAAGTTATGAAGACAGAGAAGAAGCTGAAAAAATACCTTTGAGGAGGCTGAGTGAGATGTCTCTGGATGTCAAATGACTTAGCTTGAATCAAGAAGATGACTCATTTAATCCCAGCCCTAGAAAGATGGGAAACCACGGGGGCAGGAAGAAAAAGAAGGGTAGGCCCCCTTGGTAAAGTGACAAAATCTGTCAAGGGTAATTTGCCAAGATGCTTATCAGTTGTCTCAACATCTTTAATCAACTCTATTTTCCTTTCTTAACCTCCAGCTTTTCTACATTCCTGCCTCATGAAACTAAGATCAAACAATTTAAATTCACCCCTATTTCTGCCTTCAGAAAAGCCTACTGGTAGGAGCCATTGGGAGTCAGAGACTTTGTAATGGAGCTAGAGGGCCACTAGTCACTACTCAACTCTGTGTATTCTTCCTTCTCCCTTTCTCTCATAGGAGATGGGAGGGAGGTTACTACCCAATGAGCTTACCCAGAGATGTCACCAGCATATATTACACTTTTTTGCCACAGGCCAAAGAAAGCAGGGCTCACTCTGTTTTAATGCATTTGCTATACACAGCCAAATATACAAAACTTATCTCCATCCAGAACCTATTACCCTCTGCAAATGCTCTATTGTAAATCTCTTTCCAGCTCCCAAAAGGTCAGCTTTGTGTCTTCAGAGTGCTCATAGTTGCCCTTTAATACAATCAACAGGCATTATGAAGGATGACTAATCAATGGAATGGACCTGAGCATAAAAGTGATTCTAAGGCACTGAAGCAAACATCTCACATACATGATGCTGTCCATTTGTAACAATATAAAGCCTCATTCTCAGCCAGGCTTGGTGGCTCAGCCTGTAATCCCGTGCTTTGGGAGGCTGAGGTGAGTGGATTGCCTGACCCCGCGGGTTCGAGACCCATGTGGGCAACTTGGCGAGACCTCATCTCTACAATAAATCAAAAATTAGCCGGGCATGGTAGTGCCCGCCTGTAGTTCCAGCTACTTGGAAGGCTGAGGCGGAAGGATCGCTGGAGCCCAGCAGGTCGATGCTGCAGTATCCTGAAGCGGTCACTGCACTCCAGTCTGGGCGACAGAGTGAGACTCCAACTCAAAAAAAAAAAAGAAAGAAAGAAAGCCTCATTCTCTAATAATCCATTAGCTTTTCCCTGCTTCTCACAGAGCAAGCTGAGCCCTGCTATGGAAAGTATACTATAAGCAGGCCTTTAAGAGATAAGAACTATTTATTTTTCTTCTTAGTAGTTTAAGACAAGCAAGTAAAAGTGTTGGCTTTTGTATAGCTAGAATAAGATGAATATTTGGAAAAGCTCCAGTGATAAGGAGAACAGGATATGAGAGAAAGGGGAGGTAGAGGCAAAGGCAGGAACAGAAACAGATTTAGGTTTAAGCTATAGTCCATCACGTTGTAGTTCCTAATAACAATAAGGAAAGGAAGGATAACTTCAGCCAAGTAGAAGCAGATCCATCACACAGAATGTGGTGGAGAATTCCCTTATGGCTAGAACTAAAGTCCTGGTTGGTAGCACCCTTCATAAGGAACTTCTGAGAAGACAATACCTTCATCTACTTCACTGTGACAATCCCAGAAGTCCATTCCTTAGGGTAGATCCTGTTTTCATCAAAAAGAACTACTAGCAGATTTCTTCATTCATTCAATCTATACCAAGTGCCCACAATGTGCCAGATACTGGGGATACAGCAACAACAGCAACAACAAAATCACTACCCTTTGTAGAAATGACATTTGAGGCAAGATGTTTCTTAGCCCGAAGAAAGGTGTTTATGGAAGGTTCAGTTTTTGTCCTCATTATCCCAGTGTCCCACAAAAGATTCTCTGGGCCTGATGATAAGACTTTCTAGTCTAATCTCTAAGTGCCCTGCTCTTAAGAGATTTCCTATTCTATGCAGATGAAGGCCCTTAATCACTTGCATGTCAAAGTGTATTGACACAGGTCAGCCCATGAGCTTATCTTCCCTGGTTAGAATGTCAGCCTGGAGTGCCATTTTCAATCCTGTTCAACAATCTATGCAGGCTAATGTGTACCTTTCATAAGTATTCTTCACTGGTGCTGCAATTAGCACATATAGATGCCTGGATGACAAATAAGAAGGAAAATGCCTGGAACCTGCCAGGTTCCCAGAAGTTCCCTAAGAGTACTTAAAGACTGATTTCTCCCGCTTTCAAATAACTCTGAAACAAGGCTGGTTAACGCAGTTCAATTTAACAAATATATATTTGAGACCTATTATGTACCCAGCCATTAACTGTGGAAAGACATGCAGATGAGCAAGATAACCGATTCCTCCTTCCTCCTTCTGAACCAAGGAGTACTTTACAAATCAGAGACAATCTCTGGTCCTTATCTCTCCCTTTTCTAGTTCCACTGTCATTGCTTTCATCCTTTTATACTAGGACAAGTCCTTAAGGGATACCCCAGCTCCCATCCTTCCCACATAACACTATCAGACCAATTGTTTTACTATCACTTTGATTGGTTGATCTTATAAACCCAAGATCCTTAATAGATCCCCACTGATTATAAAGCAAGTCCAAATCCCTCACTCTTGCATTAAAATATTACCATAATCTGACTCCAATCTATATTTCCAGTTTTATTTCCTATTAGTTCCTTCAGAAATACTGGGCTCTCTTCAAACTGATATACTTTATGTCCACAAATATTCCAATTTATGTCCTTTAATCCCATGATCTAACATAGAAATAATGTAATTCAGAGAATTTCAAACACTTCAGCAACAATGAATCAACCTCTCAACTTCCTGATGAAGAAACAAATATCCATAGTGAGTGCCAGGGAATTAGTGACATACTCACATCTTTGATATGCCTTTTTATTTTGTGCCTTCCATTCTTTCTTGGTTTTTTTAACTATACAGTTGATATGAAAAGACATTTGACTTGTAAAAAGTTAAAATAGAAAAAAGAAAGACTCAATTATTAAAATCAAGTATGAAACAGGAACCAATCTTAAAGAAATAGGGAATACTATACATACAAACAAACTGGATAACCTGATGAAATGGACAAATTCCTAAAAAGATAGAAGCTACAGAAATGGACTAAAAAGAAATAGAAAGTCTGAGAAAACCTTTAACAAGTAAAAATAAAAGGACTAAACTAATAATCAAAAACTTTCCACATGGGGGGAAACCTCAAAATCAGATTGTGTCATTGGTGAATTCTACTAAACACTTTAAAAATAATTAACACAAATCTTTTACAAACACTTCCAAAAGACAGAAATACTCAACAAAATACTAGTAATCCAAAACAAATAACATATTTTAAAAATTGTCCACCTTACCATATGCAATAGATCCCAGAAATGTAAGGTTGGTTCAACATATGAAAATCAATGTAAATTACAACATATTAATGATATAAAGGTTATGAAAACCCACATGATCATCTCAACACAGAAAAAGCATTTGAAAAAAATCCAACACTCTTTTATAATAATAAAAACACTCAACAACTAGAAATACAAATTTTCTCAAAATGATAATAGATATTTATAAGAAAGTCACTAATATACTTACTGGTGAAAGAATGAATGCTTTCATCCTACAATCAAGAAAAAGACAAGGATATCTGTTTTCATCACTTCTATTCAGCACTGTACTAAAGGCTCTAGCCAGAGCAATTGGACAAGAAAAAGAAAAAAAGGCATTCAGATTGGAAAGAAGTAGTAAACTATTTCTTGTCACAGAACATATGATCTTATATGTATAAAATCCAAAGAAATCCACAAAAACTTGTTATAACTGAGTTCAGCAAGGTTACAAGATATAAGATCAATATGCAAAAATCAATTATATTTCCATACACTACCAATCAACAATCTAAGATTAAAATTAAGAAAATTTAAATGTTCTTAAATAGCAGTTGAAATAAAATATTTATTTTCTTATTTAAATCACAGCAGAAATAATAAACATTTAAGAATAAATTTAACAAAAAAGTGCAAGTCTTATACATTGAAAACTGCAAAACATCACTAAAGCAAAGTAAAGAAGATCTAACTAAATAGACAGACCTCTCATGTTTATGGATTGGAAGACTTATAGGGCTAGAAAGGCAATACTCCTCAAACTGATTCAGATTCAACACAATCCCTATCAAAATCTCAGCTGGCTTCTTTGTAGAAATTGAAATAATTATCTTAAAATTAATTTTCAAAAAATTACAAGGGACCTAGAGTAACCAAAACAATCAGGAAAAAGAAGAATAAAGTTGAAGGACTCATACTTTCTGATTTCAAAATTTACTACAAAACTGCAGCAATCAAGAGAGTGGGGCACTGTCACAAGAGCAGACATAAAGATCAATGGAATAAAACTGAAAGTCCAAAAATATATCCTGCATTTATGCTGAATTAAATCTTTTCAAAGATGCCAAGATTATTCAAGGGGTAAAGTATCATTTTTTTCAATGAATGGTGCTGGACCAACTGGTTA